AACCAGAGTGTAGGACAGAGGTCCAGGGGTGAAAGAAAAGAATTTACCAGAGACAGTGGTAAGCACAACAGGCAGATCCACTGAAATGCACTGCTAAGGGGAGCAGTGGGCCAATAGGGGAGGTCTGCTGTGCCACATGTGGTCTAGCTCCCTGGCCAGAGATCAAACTCAGGGTACAGTGGTGACAGCACTGAGACCCAACCCCTAGGCTACCGGGGAGGCCCCAGAAAGTGGTGGAGGATTATAGGTGCTTTAGCTGTTTATGTGGTGTGGTAACATGTAAATGAAGATATGTTAACCTATGGCTCTAAGTCATATTGAGTGTTGTCAACATTATCTCAATAAAAAAATAGAACAATGTTTTAAAAAAAGATTATCATCTGGTTTGTTGTATGGAACGATCCCTCACCCCTGAAAATTAAATGGAATAACATTAATATATTGCATATAAAAGCAAAATATTTACTTAAATTATCTCTCAGCGTTATCTAGAATAGAGTACCTATTGAGAGCCAGCCTTTAGTAGACCTGATGGATGACTGGTCAAAAGACCATTAAAACTGGAATAATGAAGAATGAAGGGAAAGCCTAAACATGTGACCACAATGAATATTACAAGAAAAGACTTTAGAAGAAAACTTTAGATCAGATATGACCATAATAGCAGAAATTTGACCTATGGGTTAAGGGTCCATCATGTTTCCACTGTGACACTCTGGACACAATGTCAGGAAGCCCTTTTGACTACATACACACACAAACACACACACACATATACACTCTCTCTCATACACACACTAATAGTACTTGTAGGAGCAAGATCAATCAACAGCTATAACAGTCCGAGTCAAGCCATGTAAGTTATTTAATTATAAGTTAAATTCTCACCCTTATCTGAATGTTAACTATATTGTTTTGGACATAAGTTTAACAATTAGAATGGAAATATGTGTGTGGTATTAAATTATTCTGGGCATCCCTACATTGTCAGAAAGCACCTGAGTAACATTTACTAACCAAAGTGCCTCATTCTCTCCCTGATAAATGCATTTCCCTTGTTTGACACCTTGCTTGATGCAATGTTTTATTATTATTTTTATTTTCTTTACTATGTTTCATTTTAGTAAATTGATCACAGTTTTCCTGATGGCTAATTTCTGCTGCTTCCCGTTTCCTTAAAACAAATAACTAGACTTAGATTCAAATGTGCCTAAGGGCACAGTTAAAAAATCTTACCCAGCATATAAGAAAAAAAATACACAGTAAAGTAATTGTAAAATGTTTCTAAATTATACAAAAGCTACATGAAAACTATATGCAGAAGCATATTTTAAATGTGTAGAAAAAGAAAAAATACAATTTTAAATTAAGCCAAGTGTTTTAGTGTGGGTATATGACCCAGATTCTGGGAGCGATTATAAGATAATGCTCAGGTATTTGACAAGAAGCCTGTACCTAGTTGCATACTAAATACACTAAATGAAGTGGAGATTCTAGAATTTCTTTCATATAGGTTAAAGGAAAGCATCCAAAGGCTGGTTGAAAGATTTCTTGAAGGGATTTGTCATGTGCTTTCCTATATGATAAATATATGTCCAAAATATCCATCAGAAACACCCTTCAGCAAGGCTTTGCTACTGTAGCATTGATCTGTTAAGACAGAAACAAAGGTATGAATATCACTACTGAAATAGGACTTGTTGCATATTATAGGGGTTATTTAATGTGAGGATAGCAGAGAACAAGTATTAGCACTTGACCATCATGTACTAATGAGTACTAACAAGTCTGATTATAATGGGTGACAGCAGTTAATATAATAGCTTTACAAGCAATCTTCTTTGCTCTTACCTAATTGGTCATATTTTCACTATGACTGAAATAGATGTTAAGTCTACTAAAATGGATGCTTAATTACACCTGAAAAAGTATTAAAATCCACATCTGCACAGAATCTTAAATTGAGTCACTATAATAAGTAATCACAGAATTTCATCTAATTCTTATATTTGAATCATTTCACAAAACTTGTTCCCCAAAGTGATGAGAAAGTTGAATTACTTGAGAAAGGATTCTTAAAATGACTATGAATGTAAATATATTTTTTATATCCAGCATTCTGAGTTGATCTGTGTCGATCTACAAATATGAGTGCATAATACACTAGGGAAAGAATAGACAATTGAGCTAATGCTAATCCCAGGCACAGGATGCAACTATGATGTAACATTCAGAATGTTGCCTTATAAAGGGCAGGTGATGGCAATTTTCTCAAATTAAGGTAATAAGTGCGTCTTTGTATGAATTTTATTTTGACTGTGGATCACACCTCTCTGATTCTTTGCATGTTTCATATTTTCAAACTTTTATATTATATATTTATTTTTAAATTTTATGTATTTAATACTATATAATTTTATATTTTAAAAATAGTTTATATTTATATAAAGCATCATCATTCTTTAAGGAGACATAGAAGTTATACTATGATATAAATATAGATACAAATCAGTGAATTGGTAAATACATAAATATAGATATATACACACATAAGTTTATATACATATGTGTATGGTCCTATTACTCTCTCCTCTTTTTCCATGTGTCTTTTTCTCTTCTTCTCCCTCTCCTTTTCTTTGTAGAAACACTCAACATACTTTCCTCTAACCACCTAGAATGACAGCTTATCATTATGATGCAGTCAGGAGTTGATTTATTGGAGGTAGGATTGCAGTTTAGTAGGAATTTAAATACAAACACTAGGAAATCCTTGAATTTCAGTTCAGTGCCTAATTTCTCCACTCAGAGTGGAGAACAGAAAAGGCAGATTGATGAAATACACTGCTGAGGGGAGCAGCGGGCAAGACATGCTGTACCACGTGGGTAGCTCCCTTGCCGGGGATCGAACTCGTGTTGCAGTGGCTGTAGATAGCTTCATAGGTTGCGTCTTAGCCCCTTGTGCCACCAGGGAGGCTGTCTTCTAAATTTCTTCATGTTGATTGCTGTCTGGTGACTTAGTGATTTTTTAAAAAATTGGTTTCTTATTTTGGTGTTCTTGTGCCCATATATTTCCAAAGATAACAGAATCCTTATATTATGTTTTAATATTTGATAATTGTAAAAATTGTCCAATAGTACAAACATTTTTGTTGTTGTTATTTGTTTTGGTTTTGCATTGAGTCATTATTGTTCTTTTATCTTTCTTTTAAAGATAAAGTAGTAGTATTAAGAAATGACTATCATAATAAAGGACAAGAACATCTCATTTAATTTTTAACATTTTGCTATGTGTCTTGTTGTGTATAAAACTAAATGATTTCTTTATAAAAGACAGTTGTCTATAAGCAGATACAATATCATATTAATATAACCATATGTATGCCATTCTCATTACTTTAAAATAATGTATACTTTGAAATACTAATGAATTTTAAATAAATGTATTACTATGTCAACACATAAAATGCTTTCCCCTTCCTACTGTCTTTATAAGGGGTGCTTTTGGATAAAGAAACCTTTCTCATTTATAGTATACAGCAGCAATTATTACCACAAATTTGAGAAACTGGTGTTCTATGTTCAGATTTTGAAACCACAGCCAACATTGTTGTAATATCAACCAATTTATCTTATGTTCTCTAATAATCAGTTTCTTTACTATAAATTTAACAGAATTATATCTTAGCCATTATATGGAATAGAATACTATCAAACATGCAAAGCACTTAGAAATGGGCCACAAAGAAATGTCTCAGTAAATGTTGAATATAATTATCATTAGCAAAATAACAACAACAACAAACTAACATTTATTTTCTAATGGTGCTGTGTCTGAAATGCAGTGTATATATTCAGCTGTTTTTCCTTTTTTTAAAGATTTATTTATTTATGCATACAAGAGCTGGGATATAGGTCAGAGGTGCAGGGCAGTGAGAGGATTCACCAGAGACAGAATGGGGAGCAAAACAGGCAGACTGACTGAAATACACTGCTGAAGGGGGGCAGTGGGCGAGACAAGAGAGGTCTGCTGCTCCATGTGGGTAGCTCCCTGGCCAGGGAACAAACTCTTGCAGCAGTGACTGCTGATAGCTTCATAGTGCTGAGACTTTACCCCTTACACCACCAGGGAGGCCTCTGCTTTTCTTTTTAACTAATTTTTTATATTGACTCATAAATGATATTTCTACATGAAATATGACCATGTCATTTCTCTGTGTATTTTCCTTCTTTTGACCCCTTTGCCATTAAGATAAAAAAGACACCACCCTGCAAGTTGTTTGTAAATATTCTTAAACTAAACTCTAATTGTCTATTGGTCTTTCCCAAACCTCATACTTTTAAAGGAAAAATGATTTGCTAGAAAAGCTAAACTAAACATTTTTGCTTTATAACCAAATTCCCTGATATGCTCCCTTCAGAATATTTTCTGGAACATTGGAAATTGACCCCAATTTGTGATTTGTTAAACTAGACTATAGATGTGATTGCATGTCAACTAGTTGTGCAAGTTAATTCTTCCTGACATGAAGCAATCTTTAATTATGATTACTAGCATTCCTTTCAGGTTTTAAACACTTTAAAAAAAATAAGGAACACATTCTCATATGACTGATTAAAAAATATAATCAGTTTAGTGTAGGTACCAAATAGATCCCTGAGAATATTATTTAAATATTGATTGTTTAAAATTACTGATATTTTGGTAGTTACCTAAAAAATGTTACTATCCAAAATTGAAATAAGTATGGAGATTTTGAGGTTTGATACTTTCTTAAAACCTAGCTGGACCATTAAAAATTTTTCTTGAAATTGAGGGAATCAAATGTTACTATAATGGTAACATTATTGTCAAGGTATATTTAAGTCTGTGACAGTGGCAAATTATAACACTTTAAGCATTAATCTTCAAAGGAAAGAGAAAATGGGACCTAGAATAAAGTCTATGCAAAGTAGTTTACCTGGAGCAAGGATTATAATCTTTGATCTCTCCTCTCTCGTAGTACAACTCAAGAAGTCTACAATCAAGCCCAGTAGGTGTATGAATTCTGAAGGCACAGCTTCATCAAAGTAATGTGCTCACCCTTATAAATGATAAGATTTTATGACTGAATCCTGGCCGAATTATACAAGGTAAGTTTATTGGGTGACACTTAAGGTGTTATTTGAATTCTTTTCAAATGTGACTTACACTTTTGTAAAAGAGATGAACAATTTTTTCTTTGTATTCTTTTTAAGGTGTGCATGGTTTTAAAATTTGGGTGAAAAATAAAGTTAGTGCTTTTGTCTGTCTTCCTACCATGGCCAGAATTTAGAGTTTAGATGATTTTTAAAAGGGTTTTATACAATATAATTTTCCTTATTATTAAAAAACTTAATCAGCAGATAGTGTATGAGTAAGTGTGTGTGTGTGTGGGGGGGGGTTTAAGTCAAGAAAACTCCTGTCATTGTGTAAGACAAGAAAACCCTTTTCATGAAAAGAATCATCGAAGGATCATAAAATAATTTATCCATAATGGCACATATTTCTGGTGGATGAATGACTTGGCATTTGTGATAACTCAAATAACTTATTCATTTTACTGAAATGCTCTTTATATACATTGTATGTTTCATTTTTTTATTGTTGTTATTTGCTTAGTGTGCCTGAATATGGTGACCTATTATTAATATCAAATATCTTATGTTTGTGGTTGAGTTTTCCCTTAGAAAAATTGATATATCTTATCTCTGTGTCTATGGATGAAGTGAAACTTGAAATCTTTGTGTTTCTCTTAGAGATAAAAGCAAACAACTTCAATTTTCAAATTTTGCCAAACTATGAGATATTAAGGCTATTAAAAAGAGAATCATAGTGCTGAAGTCTGTTTTTTTTTTATTATATGCAAGTATATATGCAAGTGTAGAAGCAGTTACTCTTCTTTATAAAGTACACTTAGTCAATTAAATGTTGAATTGTTTGAAAGGGTAAAAGAGGAAGGATACAATAAAGTATATAGTGTAGATCCATACATCCATTATCAAACACTGAGATAACACTCCTGCTGCCAGTATATTTCATTTTCAAGAATGACTTCTGCTTGGATCTAGAATTTGATGTAGGTCTGGATGATAAAATAGAATTAATCATGTCCCTCCAAAATTCATATGGCAAAGCCTTAACTCTCAATGTGACTGAATTTGGAGATGAGGTCTCTGAGGCAATGATTTAAGTGATGTTTTTGTGCATTTGAATCCAACAGCAAGAAAGACAAAAGAGAATATAAGCAAATGGGACTCCATCAAACCAAAAAGCTTCTGCACAGCAAAAGAAATTATCAGTAAGTCAAAAAGACATCCTAATGAATGGAAGAAAATATTTGCACATCATATATGTGACAATTATCTGATATCAAATATCTATAAAGAGCCCATACAAGTTAAGAAAAATAAAACAAATAACCTAATCAAAAAATGGGCAGAGGAATTAGACACTTCTCCAAAGACATACAAATTCTCAAATGGCACATGAAAAAAAGTTCATTATCATTTATCATCCAAGAAATGCAAATCAAAACCACTGTGAGATATCACCTCACACCTGTAGAATAGGTTTGATATAAAAAAAATAGAAATAACAAGTTTTGGCAAGATTGTGGAGAAAAAGGAAACCTACTAAACTATCGGTGGGAATGTAGACTAGTACAGACTTTGTATAAAACACTATGGAGGGTTCGCAAAATAGTAAAAATATATCTACCTTATAATCCTGAAATTTTACTCTATGTATCTACTTGAATAATACTGAAACACTACTTGGAAGTGATATATGAACTCCTCTGTTCATTGCAGCACTATTTACAATAACCAATTTATAGAAGCAAATATATATATATATATATATATATATTATAATGGAATACTATGCAGCAATAAAAAGGAAAAACTAAAAAAAAAAAAAACCCACCTAGAAATTAGACTGTGAAACTTTGACTACCAGAGGGAGAGGTGCCAAATGGACTATGATGGAATGCCTTGGTAGTGGGTGTGTTATGGTAGCATATACCTGAAAAGGCAGGATCCTATATTTCTGAATCATATATAATATTATAAGCCAGTTACTTTAGTTAAAAAAGATAAAGAAGGGGCCTCCCCGGTGGCGCAGCGGTTGAGCGCTGGGTTGCGAAGCTGCCCGCAGCTGGCTCGATTCCCGGCTGCTCCCGGGCCACCTGAGGAGGGTCCCACATGGCGCGCAGACCTCTCCTGCCGCCCGCTGCTCCCCTCAGCAGTGTACTTCGGTCCTTCTGCCTGCTCTGCCCCCGCTCTGACTCTGGTGAATTCTCTCACCCTCCACTCCAGCGCTTCTGACTGTACCCAGTGCTTGTATAAATTAAAAAAAAAAAAAAAAAGATAAAGAAGAAATAAATTTAAGAGTAGAATTATTTGGTCAGAATCACCATAGTTTGCCCTTATTTTAGTTTTCAGAAATTAATACATTCTTTTTTTTTCTTTTTTCTTTTTTTATGGGACCCTCCCCAGTGGCAGGGGTCAAACTGGTGCTGCAGTGGTTGCAGGCAGCCTCGCAACCCAGCGCTCAACCGCTGTGCCACCAGGGGAGGCCCAAATTAATACATTCTTTAAGAATAATTTATTAAGAACCTAATCACTAGTAATGACTTCAAACTGTCAGTATAATATCAAAGTAAGGCAATGAAATTAATCATTTTGGTAACTATATAAATAAGATTGATAATATAATGATGTGGCTACTAACAATACTATTATTTTCACATTTGTGATACAATGTGTAATCCTAAATTGATTAGGTAAAAAATTATTTGAGGGCCTCCCCGGTGGTGCAGTGGTTGAGCGCTGGGTTGCGAAGCTGCCCGCAGCGTCTGCAGTGCCAGTTCGATCCCCTGCCACAGGGTGAGGGTCCCACATGGCTCGCAGACCTCTCCTGCCACCCGCTGCTCCCCTCAGCAGTGTACTTCAGTCCTTCTGCCTGCTCTGCTCCCTGCTCTGGCTCTGGTGAATTCTCTCACCCTCCCGCGCTTCTGACTGTACCCAGTGCTTGTATAAATAAATCTTTAAAAAAAAAAAAAAGTTAAAAATAAATAAATAAATAAATAAATAAATAAATAAATATTTGAGATGAGAAGAAAGAAAAGGTACCAGATTCCTAAACTATGGATTTATAATGGAGTAAAAATGTAAAGAAAATAAAAATTAAAAAATAAGTATCTATTGTTAAGAGACTCAGTCTGTTTATGTTTATGATAGTCTGAACAGACTTCCACAATATAGGCTTTTTTGGATGGAAGAACATTAAAGTCAAAAAGGTGTTGTGATGCCCACATTGCCATCTGGGCTTATCGAAGACAGGTATATAAAATACTCAGAATATTGTCTTGTATTAATTTCCCATTAGCTATCTCAGTAAAGTGAGGAAGTCTTACGAATGAATACTGCGTTTTTATTTTGTTTTGTTTTCTGGTGATGCTGTATTCCCACATGGCTACTAAATACTGGCCTAACTGGATAACCACAGAATTCAGAACCTGCCAAACATAGTACCCCAGATTCAATATTGTACATAAAGAGTACAACAAAATGCTTCGATTGTCTATCAGTAGGATTGACTCATCTCAGTTAATACAAAGCCAAAACTATTTACTTAAGTATAAATGACTGATGATGGATAGAATATCATATATCATGAGCTCCTTGATGTACTAAGTGGCTGACTCACCATCTTTTTCTCATTTATCAAATCCCTGAAACCCCTTTCTTAAAGAAAAGGAAGGCCAGGCTTAAACTCTCAGTATATTATGGGCACAATTTCTGACTTTTCCATTAAACATAACTAGAATAAAAGATATGTCATTCTTGTTCTTGATATTAAGCAGATGTTCAGAGCAGTTTATGTCCAATTATGATACAAATATTTAAAATCTGCTTTGATATACAGTCTTCAGTCTTTGTAATTAGAGGCAAAGATGTGTGCTTTCTCATAGAATTTATTTTAAATGACGCCTTAATGGATTGAACAAGCTGCAGTGAATGAAGTCAGCGCTGACAGGTGGCATGCAACCCAAAGACGAACTATCTTCCCATACTCTACAATGAGGGTTAGTGGTTGCATTTTATTCACACTACCACTTAATACCATTTAACCACAATGACCACCTCAACCACACGTCACCTCCATAGGCTTTCTAAATTATACTATGGAATAAATGTCTTGTAGTCTAACCTTTTGTGGAAAGTAATCAACTGTCACAGGATAAATTAGGTTATACTGGGGAAATCATATCCATTATGTGGTAATGTGACACACTGCCCTAAAATATGGACTTTAGTATGTTAAATATTTGAAGCTGAAAGTGTTTGAGAAAGTAGCTGAAGCAGGAAGGTCACTCTGACTTTTATCCCCACCCTTCTCTCTTAAAACAGTTCATAAGATCCTCATGTGAGAGGTGACCCTCCTTAGACCTAGAGAAAAGTAGCATCCTTATCTTCCAAGACAGGGCACCAAGAAAAGCAAATAGGTGTTGCTGTTCCTCATCGTTTGCTACACCACCTCATACTCTTTTTCTCGTTTTTCCATAGCTGTGCATTCTTCATTAAAGCTATCTAAAAGTACTCAGGTTTAACTGCCTCTTTCATTTACTGTGTCACAGAATATCATGTATGTTTTATGCTTTCTTCTGTTAATCTCTTTTTTGCCAATTTAATTTTCAGGCCTAGTCAGGGACTCTATTTTATTATTTTGTTTTGAGGCAATGTTGGTTTTCAACTCTGTACATGATGTAGAGGTATAGTTTCACACCTCTTCAGATGTATGTTACCACACCACACCGCCACCGAGGCACTGATAATCCTCCATCCAGTTCATTGTGCCCCATACCCTTTTTGCACCTACACCCCAACTTTCCTCTCTGGTAGCCTTAATTCTATAGTCATATTTTATTTCTGACTCATTTTTGCTAGACATAATCCCCTCTAGCTCTACTCATATTTTTGCAAATGGCAGGCATTTATCTTTTTTTTTTTTTATTAGCTGAATACTATCGCATTGTGCTTATATAGCACATGTTCATTATCCACTCATCTGGCCTGGGGCACTAGGTATTCTTGATAACTTAGTTATTGTAAATCATGCTGCAAGAAACATGTGAGTGCATATATCCCTTTGAATCAGTGTCTTGGCATTTTTGGGTAAACACTCAGTAGAGGAATTGCTAAAACCTATGGTGGGTCTACTCTTTAAAGTCTGTGGAACCTCCATCATGTGTAAGTGTCCCTTTGTCCCTTTTTCCACATATCTTCACCAACATTTGTTGTTTCTGTGCTTTTAATATTAGACTTTTCTCATGGTGTGATGGGGGTTCTCATTGTTGTTTGGATTTGTATTTTCCAGAATGGTAAGTGATAATGAACTTTTTTTTTTTTTTTGGTCACATACCTCTCAGTGTCTAGTTCTTCCCTCCATTTTTTGATTTGGTTATTTGTTTTCTTTTTGCTAAGTTTTATGAGTTCTTCTAGATCTTGAATATAGTAACAATTTTAAGATTGTGACTTTAGGATCCCATCTATACAACACGCTCAAAATATTGTGCTGTGCCTAGCAGAGACTCTTAAAGAGAAGTATTCAGTAAATATTTGCATAATTACATTTCCTAAGACTTGCTTGTTAACTGTTCTTAACAATTCACTCATAAAAACAAGAGTTCCATTTAGAATAAAGTGAATTACTTAAAGCAGAAAGCTATTGAATTTCTAAGGATTCCCTTCATCAATCCTGACTTATTTAATGAACTTTTATTTCATCCAGTATTCAAACTTTAATAAAATTGCCTCATTTGTCAATGAAGATCCAGAATCAATATTAATTAGTTGAATATTTAATTTACCAATTAAATTCCTTAGGAAAAATTCAAAGAAATGAAATGAGCTTTTTTTCCTTTTATATAATTATTTTTCATCCTATATTTTGGAAAAATATATTGGTTCTGTTTGATCTAGTACTTTAAGTATTCGAAATATTTTGAAACTTTATTTAATATATTTAATATAATATCACCTGGCCACTCATTTACCAAAAAAAGAGAACTCAACTTTTAAATGTTTATCAAGAACATTAGTTATATATACATATGTATTAAATGCAGAATATTATAATTATCAATTAGATTTTTAAATCTAATAAGAAAGACCACATTATGGATAAATAAGATTTTTGTTTATTGTAATTATTATCAATGCATATTTTTACTTTATTACTGTTATTATTTTTCTTTTTTAAGATTTATTTATTTATGCATACAAGAACTGGGGT